TGCGTGCCCGCGGGGTCCTGCCCGGAGGAGACGGGCGGCGGGTGGGATCGGGCTCCCGCCCGCCCGGCCCGGGGCAGCCCCGGCAACAATAGCAGGAGCTCGGGGGCCTCCGGGCTCCGGGCCACCGTTTGCACTCTTCTCACCTCCGCGGACCCGGCCGGCGGGGCTCCGCGCGCGGCCCGCCCCCGTCGCCTCCCCCACCCAGCGGCGCCCTTCCCCCCGCTTTCCTCCCATCCCGCCCGGCACGGTGACAGCGCCGGACGCCGCTTCCGGACCTCCGGCCGTAATCTTGGCCCCAGAGGCGGATCGCGGGGCCGGGGAGGTGGCCACTGGCTTGGGTGCCACGGCGCCGCCGGGTGCCAGCCGCTCGCCCACGCGCGGCGCGAGCACCCCGGTAGGTGACAAAGAGGAACACACCCTCCGCCTAAGTTAGATTTTTGTCTCTCTTTACCGCCTGCCTTTATGGAGAGCAAAGTTTTTTTTTTCCTTCTTTCTTTCAAGCAAAGGACACAGATTTTTGTGGTGAGCATTTCAAAACAACAACTTCTGATTGTGGTTTTACGATTTAAGTTCCGGAAACTTTGGCTGTGTGATCCGGCCAGACCCTTGAGTGAGTGTGTGTGCGTGTGTGTGTGTTATATTTTGGGGGGGGGTGAGTTCCCCGTCATCATTCTGGATTTGGTTTGTCGTTTTCGTTGGGGCCCGGCCGCTGCTGGGATGGTTGCAGGACCCCAGAAAGGAGAGAGGTGGGGCTCACAAAGGAACGAGGACCCTGCTATCGGATCAGCTTCTTGAGAGGTGGAGAGCTTGCCTCTCATCTGGAGCAGTTTAGGGGTCTGAGCCTGTCTGTGGGCCTTCTGGAGTACCATGGTGGCCTCTGGCTGTTTCATTTTATTATTGTTGTTAGTGCCTTTCCTGTTAGCTTCCCAGGTTCACTTGCTCCGCCAGCCCTCCCCAGTTTCCCGCTTTCCCCATGCCTTGACTTTGGTGGACCCCTGTCTTCCCACCCAGCAGGCAGTCTTCGGAGAGCCAAACCCCTTAATGTGTTTTGCACGTGGTGACTTGCCAAGCCCATTTCGGAACGGCCTTCAGCATTGTCTTGATTTTCTTATTCAGTCTAAACGGGAGAGGAGGGAGACGGGCCTTTTTGGTGCTGAGAGCTTTGAGGGAGTTGCCTTAAAATTTGCCCTCATTGTTCCGATGGGGTGGGCCCTTCTGATATCTCCTGTCTTTGGCTTTCTTCCCTCATTGCACAGCCTGTCGGCTGGGGGTTTACCCTCAGCCTTTCCAAAGGGTCGGTCTTCTGGTGTGTCAGTTTCTGACGATGCACTTCCTATGTGGGTTCAGCATCCGCATGGCTCTTTATATTCCTGCAGCATCGTTCTGCAGCAACTCAAAACCAATATTTGAGTTACTTCAAGCACAACAAAACGTTTGTGTTTTTAGAATGTCTGGCTAATAGATCTGCCTCTGGGTAAAATAAATAGACATTATTGGCCAGTGGCTGGCTCACTGGGCGAAGTGTTGGTGGAGATACTGAGTTGATGCCTCCCTACCCCAGGTCTTCCCAGAATCTCTTGTTTCTTCTTTGTGGGCAGGAAACTTGAAATAGTTGAAGATGATGTAGTTGTGCCCCATAGGGTCACGGATTCTGTAGCGTGCGCCCTGTGAGTTGGTGTGTGGTTGTTCATTTAGGGAGTCTGTCCCTAGGGAAATCCTGGAGTTAGGTTTTTAATGCTCCTTTTCACACTGATGGTCTCTTCCTGGAATTTGTATGGTGATTGAATCCCTTGGGTCATAATAGAACACTAATGCTACTCTGTAGCCAAATTTACCAAAAGGAGATTAAAAAAAAAAACAAACAAACCTATCCTAGACAATTTTCTTCTGGCATATTGCATTTATAATTATTTTGAGTCTGAAAGGCACCTGGGTGGATGTTTGTGTTTTGTATTTCATTAAAGAAACTGTCCAAGGGAAGTTAAGAATTAAATACAGTATCGAAAGGGTTAGTTTTTTTAAAAAGTGGAATTCATCCTCTCCACCTCAGGGAGCACAGCAGAGTTTAATTCATTTGGAAAGTGATACAAATTTTTAAGGAGGGCGCCTGTGATAACCATCACAAGAGAAAAGCTTTTTCCACCCTAGAAGAGGTTAGAGACCACTGGAGAAAAGGCAAGTGCCCAGCCTTTGTGTGCGGAACGCTCTATAGGAAAGGTGACATTGTGGTTTTCCCAGAGGATGGGGGAAGTTTGGTGGATGTGTAGGTCCTAGGCCAGTGATTTGGTGGCATTGAGAACCAGGCATTTGAAACCAGCCCTTTTGTAACTGGCCTGGCTTATCGCAGAGAACTGCCTCGTGTTTTTGAGAGTAAGGAAAGATGCTCCAGAAAGGAGAGAGGCCCCTATAATCTCCAAATATAGTGGCTGGCTCGTCATTGCCACTTTGTTGGGTGCACAGGTGTTTCAGGTGCTGGGTGCCATTGCCTGGGAGGGGAAGGGCCAGGCTTTTGGGTTCCTGTGGCTGCCCCTCTCCTGTTGTGGGGTGCTTTCGATTGAAAGGCAGGGCTCTCCGAGCCTGGCTGTTGAATGAGAAGCGAGCGGTAGGTCAACTTCTCTTTCTGGCTTTTTAATGGGTAGGGTGTCTGCTGTGGCCTGCGTTTCTGCCAGGTTACCCCGTTAACCACTTCCACATGTCCTGAAAGATCAGAGCCCGACGGTTTCCATTCAGATCACTCGAGATACTGATTTCACCAGCCTTTTCATGCCAAATGCTGCCTGTGTTTTTACAAGAAGCCCCCGGAAGATGTTTATTTTTAAGTGGAGAAACTGGCTTTTTTAGGCTGCCCTTGTTCTAGTTTCAGGCAGTTAAAATGTGTTGCCAAGTGGATACTCTAAGCAAAAGTGGGCACTTGATCGATATGAAATATGGTGCTCTCGGCTTTTGATATTTGTGAAATAAGCCAGGGAGCATCAAGTACAACGTGACTGAAACTGAGTGCATGAACGGCGCTGGCTGTGAACCCAGCTCCGGATGGCAGTTTTCTTATTTTAACGGGGATGGAAATATTAGACAAAGTAAGACTGGCCAATAAAGAAGGTGGGAATTCATCATTTGCACTGAATTAATTTCATGTGTAAAATTGTCATATTTGTGCATACATTTTCAAACAAAGGAGCCACGGGCCAAACTAGATTGCTTTCAACTCTGTTACGACAGTATTTCTTACCACGAGAGTAACGTCGTGCTGCACATAGACTTTGGCTTCCCGACGAGGTATCTGGTAAAAGAAGCCTTATAAATCCAGTATTACGGTGAGTTTCATTTTTTGTTCTCATCCTGTTAACTCAGGACCTAGTATACGCCTGGCACAAAGCACTCCCTTGGGAAATACTTGCAGTGAGTAAGTAAACCTCGTTTTTGATGTCCTTTCCAGTTAATGTTTAAAGATTTTTAAGGTCGCTGTTCTGGGAATTTGAAATTTGATATTTGATTTTGTTTCCGTTTCGTTCTAATTTAACAATTTAAATTAACCTTTAGGGGCGCCTGGGTGGCTCGGTTGGTTAAGTGTCTGCCTTGAGCTCCACGTTGGGCTCCATGTTCAGCGGGGAGTCTGCTTCTCCCTCTCTCTCTGCCCCTG